AGTTCGTCTGTTTTGTTGGGTAAAGAGCGGAGGTTCGCCAGATGGATGCTAGGCAACGGCGTTCTGAATCCGCGCTGTCTGAGTTTGACGAGCGCGCCGGCTCGCTTCCCCCGTCTGCGCGTCCTGAAGCGCTTGATCAGCGCCACAGCTCCCCCGACAACAATGTCCAGCAAAACATCCGAATAGTCGAAAACCGGTGAAATATCGGGTGGTGTGTACTTCCGAATGTCCAGCAATTCGTCTCTGGTGAAACTGATTGCAGGGATATAACTAAAGACAGGACAAACTAACAAAAACATAAAAACAACTGCAGAGCACGCCACGGAGGCAGCCATCAGCGTCGGCGCCATTGTGCAAGTGACACTGACTTTCATGTTTTTCATGTTTAAAACTGGAAAGCTTGTTTTAGAGTTACCTATTGTATAAAGTGCTACATAAATAAATGTGACTTGACTTGACCGGAGTCCCGAATTGCAGAGCTGATGCAAAAATATCCACGTGGCTATCAGATGCTTTCTTAACTGCTGCTTTCTCACCCCTGTCTTTTTTGTTGTGTTTATTTTGTTATGGAGAGGAACGCACACAACACATATTTACATATTCATCTAAATGCTGCTCCCAAAAGCGTAGGGGTGTTCACTGACATTAAACTGCTGCTCAGGTATTTCAAACTTCTTTTTTACCCTAAGCGAAGAACAAAAAAGAACTTCACGGTGAGTATATTGGCCTTTAAATTGCAACAAGTAGGATGTTGTATTTAATATCTCTAGTCCAATCGATCACTGATATCAGCCTTCGGGGCAAGGATTAATAGCAAAGCCCCGAACTTCCTGATTGCTTCATAAATTCTCTTAAGACTCTTTGTAGGGCTTGGAAGAACACAAAAGAGCCCCTAATGCTGCAAGTTTGGCATCTTTCAGTGGCCAGCCCACAGCTTTGCTTCTCAAGTTAGTGTTAGACCAAAACATGCATTGAATCCTGATCAGTGTATCCATATGTAGTTTACTTAGTACCTGGACTGTTTCCTACCAAGTGTTGAGAATCCAATTTTCATTGGATGTCTTGTTGGTGCAATCGTAATCGGAATGTTTATATGTTGTGGAACTGAGATCCATGAGGGAAAGACTTCAGCAGGTGGGTGTTTCATCCCCAAAGCTGCTTAGAGGAGGCACATGTACTGACTCTCTTACATTTACTTTCCACATTAGCTACGAAGGCCAGTTTTCTGGTTTTTGGTTTCAGGTAGTGTCCAAGGTCTTGTAAGCTTCCGACTGAGCTCTGGTGATAATTTGATATCTGGGTCAATGACAAATAAGACTAAAAAAGAGAACAAATCTTGTAAAAAAAAATGGTGTACTTTTGGTGTTCATGTTGGTTTTATACGTTTTTTTTAACCAACATTATTTATTTATTCATAAATATTTGTTTTATTAATCTGGGCATGCCATAAAATGTCAAATTATTATTTTATTAAAATGAATACATTAATGCATTTGTAAATTTTTATTATAAATAAATACTTTTTTGGTTTACTCATGTGGTTGCACCACATGACTTGGATTTTTCAGATGTTTGCATAATGATTTAACAGTTTCAGTTACTTAACAAAAATTTCAATTCTTTCATTCTATTAATGAGGCTTTTTTTCCCATTATGATATCGGGACAGTTGGACCACCCTAACATTTTTTACATTATGCTCACAAAAAAAAGTTGTAATTAAAACCTTTGAAAATAATAATCATAGACAATGTGTATTTAAGACATTTTATGTACAAAGTGCATTTTATTAAATTAGATTAATCTCTTATTAGACTGCTCTGAATCAAATATCTGAAGTTTTTGATCCATTGTTTGTCATCATCAGGTGACCTGGTGTCACGGGCCATGCACCATATGCAGCGCCTCAGTTCTGTTCGTCATGGGCTCAGTCCTGCACGTCATGCCCGCCAGCAGCCCGTTTCCTGGTCTCCAGATGCCCTCCACACTCTCTACTACTTCCTGCGATGCCCTCAGATGGAGTCCATGGAGAACCCCAACCTGGATCCTCCCAGGATGGCCCTGAGCAAAGAAAGGTGAGCCTCATTACTATTCCCCTCCCATTAATCCAGTCTCCAATTCACACAATGGGTGCTAAGCTAATTAACAGCCCAAACCCCTAATGATGCCTGCTTGTGGGATACAAAAACTAGGTGCAACTGTGTTGAGGCAGTTACTTGACAAGCTAAAAGCAACTTTAATTTGAGGCAATCAAACAACAGTAGTTAGAATTTTGAAAAAGGAGTCAGCTACAACAAAACCTTCATTGAATACAACAAATCTTTCATTGAAGCCATTTTAAGGGTCAATTCACTGCCTCCACTCACTCAGCAGGACTTACCCTGTTGAAAAAACCAGCATATGCTGGTTAGGTATGTTTTGACGCTGAGATGCTGGTTTAAGCCGGTCCTTTGCTGGTTTATGCTGGTTAAAGGACCAGTTTAAACCAGCAAAAAGACCAGCAAAGGACCAGCTTAAACCAGCAAAGGACCAGCTTAAACCAGCAAAGGACCAGTTTAAACCAGCAAAGGACCAGCATAAACCAGCAAAGGACCAGCATAAACCAGCATAAACCAGCAAAGGACCAGCATAAACCAGCAAATGACCAGCTTAAACCAGCATCCCAGCGTCAAAACATACCTAACCAGCATATGCTGTTTTTTTCAATAGGGTAAATATTAGCAATGTAGCATTTTGTCTGTTACTTCCTAGAAAAAAGTAGCTAGTTACTGGAAAAACTACACCATACGCATATTGAAAACATCGGAGTGACTGTCATGCTACTGATAGATGTAGCATTGCAACTTTTAGTTAGCTTCTTAGTCACACAGGTACAACAATTTCTGGAAGCTCTACTGCTGCATCCAAAAACAAAGTAAATCCAGGCCTTCGTCAATCGGCTCAGATGTTTGTTTCCTTCTTTGATGTGTTGTTGCTGAATGCCAAGCACAATTGTACACATGTTGTGATTGTGTGTAAATGTATGTGTGCAAATATAAGGTTGTATGTTGAATAAGTAAAGGGCAAATCTTGATATTTGGCTACAGCTGGTTTGCTTGTGTAAGACCTTCAATTAACAAACTTAAATAGAAAACAACAATGGAGCCTTACTGCCGACTCCAGGACTCCAATCATTAATTTTTCTTAACGATCATGCCAGGAAAGATTTCCAGCAATATTGCTGAGAGCTTGTGTACATGGTGGAGTAGCAGAATGGGATACAGGTTGTGCTTCAGTCCTGGCAGTAATTACAGTAAAGGCCCGGTCTCCTCAACATGCCTTCTATTGCAAAGTCTATAAAACCTTTGCTTGAATTGAAACCACAATGGCACACATGCGTACTGTGTGGTCCTAACAGAGGCCTGTAAATGGAAAGGGGGTGTTACAGATCCAGTGAAATTTGAATATGTGAGCTAGAGGTTGATTTATGACAGGTATGTGTCTCCTACTGAGTGGGTGGAGAGAGAGAGGGAGGAAAGGGTCAGAAAGGTGAATGGGAGTGCTGGGTGGTAAGTGGTCGCACATCAAGGAGGCACTGTAAGATGAGAGGGGTGGAAGGTACGCTGACCCCAGATCAGGACAGAGAAGACAAGACCCATCCTTACATACTGACTAACTGGCGAACATTTTCATATTAAGATGACGTTAACTTCAGAGTTCAGAGTAGTTAACTACTAAGGGAACTTGTTTGAACCTCATTTTAGAAACTTCCAACTACTTCTAACAATACATATTTCTGTGAATAAGTACACCACTATGTCAGGTCTCTTTGCACACTAAACAAAAACAATTCACTAACATGTCTAGTATTAGATTCTTAAAACCTTTATGCATTTTATTTCTGTTTGGCCATGTTTTATCTCACCTGCTGAAAAAAAGTGAGCCAGAAAAAAAAAATGCTGTTAGTTTGACATGTCTAGTACTAACCTCTTAAAAACATGTATTTATTTTTTGTTTTATATATATATATATATATATATATATATATATATGCACTACCTAAACTTTTGAATGGTGGTTTGTTTATTTCTGAAATGGTTGCTCCTGTTTACTAAGATCATCAATGTTTTAAATGCTTAAATCTCCAAATATCAGTTTTCAGAGACATTATTTCCCCCACGCTTTCAAATTTTGAACTCTGTGTTTGGGTGCACACAGCAGGCCGTCATATAGGAAATAGTTTGAACTGAGGAAAAGATTCCTCTCAGTGACAGAGAGGGGTCAAAGATCTTCCGGCTCTTTCTGTGAGTGACCTCAGTAAAGGCTACTGTCGTGCAGCGGTGCGCGACCTCAACATGATGTTGGTCCTTTGCTGGTTTATGCTGGTCCTTTGCCAGCACATGACCAGCATAAAACCAGCAAAGGACCAGCATAAACCAGCAAAGGACCATCTTAAACCAGCATCCCAGCGTCAAAACATACCTAACCAGCATATGCTATTTTTTTCAACAGGGCTGTCAAACAAATATTCATATGGTTAAATTTTTTTTATTCTGCGTTAGAAAATCATCACAAACATATCCTGGTGTACTGTAAGGGGTTATGGGTAATATCTAGTCATAATATCTACCGCCAAGCAGTAAGGTGATAATTATTAAACAAGAAAACATTGGAAGGTAGCCATTTTGAATTATCTGTAGAGCACTAATAAAACAATAACATGGTGTTATTTTTTTAATCAGTGCCCCGTCTGTGCAACGCATTTCAAAGTCACTAATCAACTACTGTATTGAAAGACCTTTTTCAAAATGTCATTGGCGGGATTTAGTACACTATTTATACATGATTTTTGAATTCAAACAAATATACAAAATAATGCTCCCATTTAAAGTAATGCTGGGATTAATCATCATCCTCTGCCAAACCTCAAGAAATTCCTGCCTTGAAACCCACAGTGTTTAATATGCAGCGCCCATAGAGTTGCCCGCCAGACGCTAGTGTTTGTATATGACTCAGAGACATGCTTCAGCATTATATATGTTTATAGCGAGGGAAGCAGCCTCTCAGTAGTGAACTCTGAATCACCGTTACACATCTCTGGTGTAATCTAGTCATGTTAGAGGCCTTATCACATGTGTGTAAATGTCTGTGCGTGCTAGTCCGCCAAATTAGCCCAAAGCACTATACGTTTCCACAAGCCCTGATTAGCCATGCTTTGATGTAGGCTGAAACAGAGATCGGATTTCGGGTCGAAGGCCACGGGTTGAACTTGAGCCCTTGATTCAGAAGCGCGGGTCTCTGTTGAAATGTGACTCAGGGGCCAAACGAACAAGAGATGGAGGGACGCAGACAGACTTTTGCTTTCACTAGCGTAGCGCTCTGACAACAGAACAAAGGCGAGGTTGTAAAAATGTTGAAGAGCTTAAATTTCATGCTGGTTTTGTTTTTCATTCATAAAAGAGCAGGTCAGAGGAGTGGACTACACATCAGGAGTTTACATTTGTGTTTGTCCCTGAACATGTGGCCAGTACATGTAACCTTGTGTGCTAATAGAGCTATTGCCATCTTTTGTTTGTTGTTTGAAAAGCTTCGAGGAATCAAGAAATCTATTTAGCAATGGTAAAGAGCTGACAGGCATAGTATCAAGTGTGTATTTAGATTTTAGTGTTGTGCATATTGCTTTTAAATGATGCTGTTAGTAGCCAGGGACATTCAGACTGATGGTTCCCTTATTTCAGAGAGAAGTGGATTTAAAAAACAAAAAAAATAGTATTTGTATCTTTGGTCATTTTGCTTTTTTTATTTTTGAAAACCTGGTGCCCTGAAATAATTAAATGAAAGAACAAAAAAAAAAATAAAAATTTTTTTTTTTTAGTTTGGCCCCATAAAATAAAATTAAATAAAATTAAATTAAATTAAATTAAATGTAATTTTTTTTTTGGGGGGGGGGGCAATGGTGACCCATAATTAAAAAATAAAAAATAATCTTGGTGGCTGCTGTCTATTGAAACCTGGTGCACTTTAATTATAAAATAAAAATAAAATAAAATAAAATTTGTATTTATTTATTTAACTAATTATTTATGCATGAAAGAAAGAAAGAAAGAGAAAGAAAAAACCTGGCGCCCCATAATGGAAACAAATATCTATCCAATGCCTATTCATATAGTTATATGAAGTGTATGGAAAATC